CATGCTCCACTGAGGGTTTGGTAGTTTGATTGGCCTGCATCGTACAGAAACATAATAAAAATACAGAAAATAAAATTGAAGTTATCCATATATAAATGATGAAAGGGTTTATTTAAATTCAAAACAAACAGGCTCTAATAAGAATTTGAGTACACACGACTTCAGAACTTGGAAAAAGGAAAATATTACGGCAACAAGCAAGTGAAGTCCATCTAAAGAAGAGTAAAGCTTGTATAACAACACACATATACATCTTTATAAACCACACCCATCAAGCAACTTGCATTTAATAAGAAATTGGCACAGTCTCCAGTAACAAGAATGGTTGAATGAATGGTGGGCATAACAAGGGCAATAAGCCAACTTCGTCACATAAAAAATCAAATGGTAAAGAGGTACTCTTAGTCTCCTAAGATGCATGGTTCATTATATCTAGGAAGTCAAATGTAGTAAAAACAACTATTTGGAATTCTAAGTACAGAAATTAAGTATAACAAGAAGTAACAGCACAACAGACCGAGTCATGTTCCCTATAAAACCAGCAAATTGAAAATAAAATGCCTCCGAAGCAATGATGACCCCTCATGTACAATTTCATATAAAATTATGTGCATCGTACGTAATATAAAAATATGGCTAATGATATATACCCTTTTTTTTCTTTTTTTGTAAAGGAAACAATTTCATTGATGGTATGAAATTAGTTAACGAAATCTACCAATAAAGGGCAAGATCTACCCCAATATCATAGCATTTGGGGGGAAAAACTTCAAACAGTTAAATAAAACAAAGAGGAATATGAAAAGGTGATGCCCCGAGAAGAAATAGTCATTTGACTTGAGAACCTGCCTAATGTGCTGGTTGCATGCAGCAGATAGAGCTTGGATTGCATGTGCATACATTTGTCTCATGTCTGAAACCTTGAATCTAGAGAACTCCCCTTGAATGAGATGCAAAAACTCTCTCCACAACTTATAACTCCCAGAATTCTGCATCAGTATCTTTTCCCATCTACTAATCACCACATCAATAGTATCTCTTTTCTGGTAATTCTTTAAAAGGTATAGCAATAATTCCTCATTTTCTGGGTTAAGCTCAGCAGCCTTCTCTAATATGCTAATCTTTTTCTCTAGAGTTTGCAAGCGAGCACCTTTCTGAGGTTGCATAGCTGCAACTTTGTCTTGAAATTCAGCAAAAGTTAACCAAGCCTTCTCGTCATGAGGATGCTCCCTAGTCAATTTGTTAAACTCCCGCGTTTTACGCAGCACTTCATCCTCCCAAGATTCCTCAATATTATTTGATGTTTGAGAATCCGAAAAAGGAATGAAATCATCCAATAATTTGTCTGGAGTTTTTCTAGAAAAACCAATACGTACACGTTTGAAGTTCTTATGTCGCTCTATTGCTGCATTTTTTGCAGACCAATAGCGTCCACCTGATTTCAATTTACTATCCAACACTTCAGCATCAGCGTCTTTGTCTAAGGCTGAACTACTTTTATTCCACTGAGAAAATCCATTAAAATTTAATCCAGGTCTTTCCCCATGGTTGAGCGGTCTGTAGCGTGCAACATCCATCCTGTATTTTGACAAAACATATTGGAACTTAAAATTCAAATTTGAAGCAATCAGTTCTGGCTGCTCATCTTCCGTGGAAAAAAAAATTGGAAAAACTTATTCTAAACGTCTCGGCAATAGTTCCAAACAAAATGCTGTTTCCTCTAAATTGAAATTCAAATTTAATTCTGCCGCTTCCTACAGATACTTAAGTACTAAGGATTAAAGAGGTACTGAATTCTTGTGGGATTGTAGGTTACAATTTTCAGCATATCATTAACGCGGGGATTGCCCTTTTTTTCTTTTTGTGAATAATATGGAGGTTATCTTATTGCCTTTAGATAAATAAAATAAATAACTAACTATATTCATGATTTTCTTTCGGCATATGAATTAGATTTACTGAACGAACCAAATGATTTCATTAAACAAGTTCCGGAGATTGATTGAACTTCCACGCAGTTGATTTAAGAGAAAAATGAAAATAGCGGTTAACTATTAGAACAACATGTACGTCTTAGGTGAATTCTACTCGGTCTGATTAAATTATCGGCATGTCTTTTCAAATTTCTGAACAAGTGCATTCAACTACATTCAAACTCATCTTCCACATCTTCTCTGAAACTACCTAGAGAGTTGGATTGAAAGGATTAAATTAAGTCAGCATAAATACCTGTAAAGAGACCCGAATGCTAAGTTATCCCGGTCTCCATTAGAATCGAAGTAATAATCCTTGGAAGGTCTACCATCGGCATCGGCCCAAGCCCGAACATCGGACTTTCTCGAACCATACTCGCCGAATCCCTTTTTTTCTTCATATTCATTTCGCCTCCTCCTCTTCTTCTTCTTCCTCTTTTTCCTCTTCTCATGCTCGGAGTCGTCGTCCGAAGCAGAAGACTCCAGCAATTCGTATGATCGAGATGACTTCTGCACCTCAGGTCTAACACTTGGACCTCCTTCACCTTCCACAGCCTCTTCCTGGTCGCCATCGGTGGAGAGGGAGGGATATACGTTGTTTTGAGATGAAAGAGCATCGTTGATGACGGATAGGTCAGTGGTGAAGCTGGAGTTGCAAAGCCACTGAGGAGCGCTTGAATTGGGCGGACTTATCTGACTCTGGGGATTGCTAGCGACGAACGGGAGCGGGAAGAGGGAGGTTTTAGGCTTTTGCTCTTCAGGTGGCAACTCCTCTTCTGCTGGAGCTTCCATGGCTACGAAGAATTTTGCCCGCGAGATCGGACTATTCGGAGATTATGAACTGAAAGCCTAAGAAGGAAGTGAAAGAGGCAAAATGTGCACAGGCTCAATTGAACTCATAAAACCGACCCAGGCCCAAATAAATCGGATAATAACACGGGCCTAATTCAACTCTTAAAACCGACCCGGGCCCAACTAAATCAGAAATATTATCCACTTTTTGTTTAATTAAATTATTGTGTACAAAACTAATTATATCCATATTTTATCATGAAAATAAAATTATAAATAAACCAAGACTGAGTATCAGTTTAATGTAAATTTAATGGATTATGATGCAAGTCATTTATTAAAAAGATTTTTAGAAAATACAATAATTAAAATAATGTATGAAATATTAGCATGCTGCTTGGAGTAACAAATTTCAAAACAACAATGATTTTCGAAACACGACAAAAATCTGTCGAATACTGAACGTGAAAAGACATAAATCTTTTTACAATTTCGCGAGATAAAATTAATATATAGTTATTTCCTTTTATACAAAAAGTCAATAATTAATCATTATGTTTCTAATTTCCTTATAATGCCTTTAATTTGAAAATATATTAAAACAAAAACATTTTTTAATTAAAACCAACAACAAAATTTTAAAAACTATTTTATTAGTTTTCAAAAAATTTAAGATATAAATTTTAAGGATAAATCACCCATTTAAAAATATTTATAAAAGTTGATATTAAATTTACTTAAAATAAAATTTTAAAATATACCAAACTCATAATTTACATTAAAAAAAAAAAGATAAAAGGGTCCAAGTCTAAAAGAAATGATTTATCGATGTTCTTAATTTACTATTTTGCCCTCATTCGAACGGCAAAAAGGGATAGGGCAGTGTGGATAAATTAGATGTCTCTAAATTAAATAAATATTTGGTGTGAATTTAAGATTTTTTTATTTATTTTTTAATAATCATAAAATGTAAAAAATGATTTTTTTTTTATTATTATTATTTTGTCATTAAATAGCAAAATTATTGGCTACAACGTCCAATAATTTATTGGGGAATAAGGAGGGATTGATTGGAGTTGAAGATAAAAAAAAAAAAAAAGGAGTGGCTAAGGCGTGAAATTGAAAGAGAGAAGGGGAGGAAAATAGAAATAGATAAGATTAGAAGTGAGGATGCAGAAAATTCACGTGAGCTGATGGGGAAAGTGAAAACAAAAAAACAAACGAAATATGGGAATGGCATGGAACCAACGGTGGTGGTTGGTGGAGGCTTCACCAACACACCAGCACACAACCTTTGGTATAATTCCACATCATATCGCTTTACCACGTGGAATGAAGTCGACAGCACAGGCGATGCCCATTTGGCCTTATATTTACGTACTCTTTTAACCTTTTTTCTATTTCAATTTTTAGTTTAGTCCTCCAACTTCCCTTAAATTACATTTTAAGACCTACTACATTTATTACACATTTCTTAAACTTACAATTTAACTATTTTATTGTTTTTGGTAGCTTCGTATTTGAACGCAAATCTTCGTCTTAGTCACTTTCCATTTACATTATTTAAACTTTTAAATATTTTAATATTATGTTATTATTTGACCTTTTATTTCAAAAATAATTTTAAATTTTAATTTTGTTTAATCGGTCGAAAATATATATCTATATTGATGTATAAAATTTATTTATTTTAATTAAAAAATTAGTGCTATTTATGAATATGCAAGTCTTATCTCTTTTTTGGTCTAGAAAAGTACGATTTAAAACATAATATGTTAATTAAAAACCATGATAAGCGCACAATAATTTCATTTATAGACATTAAAGTTTTATAAAAAAATCCTAAAAATGGTTAAAGCTAACTCAAACAACACCATCCCACATATCACTTAAAAACAAAAAATTAAAAACTAATATTAATTAGTGAGGTTATGAGTACGTAATAATCATATTTATTTATTTATTTAGCATTAATAAAAAAAATATTCGAATTTCAAATCTCTGTTCTAAAGAAATTAATCTATGAAATAAATTATGTTTTTTTTTAATAATTATTATATAAGGCCTAAAAAATTTAATTAATTTAGATAAAAAAAATTGAGATGAACTAATAATTGGAGGATGAAAATGGAAAATGGTCAAGAACTCAATGATCAGAGACGGTCAGTTTTCATGAAAAAATGGAGAAAAAGCACAAAAAATTAAAATAAAATAAAATAAGGAAAAAAATTCAGATTTTTTTTTTTTTTTCCTTAAGCAAATTAGTTTATATATTACAATAAAAAGGCGGATTACTGATATATAAACTAGACCCTTTTTAGCAAGAATAACAAAGGGATCTGAAAGGGGAAAAAAAGGAAGGAAAAATTAGGCCTCCTTTTAATTTAACTCTAATCACATTCACAAAGATCAATTAATTAAATTAATTAATCTTTATTTACTGTGTTAGAGAAGAGGCATTTCCAGTGGATGCAGAATTAGAAGAAAAAGAATTCTTGTGATTGTGCATCCAAACCTTGAAAACCTGGCGAGTGACGCCCACGCTCCGGCAGAACCTCTCGATCTCGTCGTCAAGATCTCTTCTCTGCAATTTCCAACCTAATTTCTCTGCAAATGCCAGCATCTTCTCTCTCTGATCCGCCGTGAACTTCGTACGGAACCGTTTTTTTCCTCCGCCGCCGCTCCTCTCGGTATCGGTTGCGGCTTGGTCGTAGTCCATGAGATCGTCTGCGGTGGCGGCGGAAGAGCGGCCACCGCCGGCGATGTAAGTGATTTTGCGGTGGAAGTTACGGTGGCAGCCGCAAGCAACGCAGTGGAGGTTGTTGGTCGGAGAGGAGGTGTCGTCGAGGGTGAATTCGCCGCAGCCATCGGTGGCGTAACTGCCCAGACTGGCTGCATGGTTCCGGAGGCATTCTCTGTAATGATAGTTGGAGTTCTCTCCGTCCATTCTCTCTCTTCTTTTTCTCTATCTTTCTGTGTGTGGGAGCTTTGATTTGTTTGATTGAGTATATATTGGGATGCCAAACAAGCCCTAGAGGTTGCTTTATATTTGGATAAAAAATGAAGCTTTTTAAACGAAACCTCGTGAGAAATGTTTCCACAAATTTATAAAAAATACGTAAGATTTCACCACCTTTCTTTTCAGTGGCTCGATTATAGAAATTTTATAGTTAAACGTGCTTTATTTTAAACAATTATATGTCGGTGACCTACTGTAAATTTTTCCTATTGTTTTTATGGGGATTGTTTTCGCTCTTGAAGTAAGGAGCCTAGGTAACATGACCATATTGTAGCGGATTTTAAATATTGATCTAAATCACAAGTGTGAGCCGTTACCGTCTTGATATTTGAATTTGGAAATATAATGCATATTTGGATATAAGTTACACTTTAATGCAATTTTTGTTGTTATTTCGCGAGTGCCCGGGTCAATTTATACGTTTTTCGACTATTATCACGAGACAATCGTTTAGGCAAAATACATGTGATTGAACCGTGTATTTAAATCGTTTATTATTTTAACGTTTTTTATAAATACCTTAATATATAAATATCGGTAAATTCTTAATAAATATTAATAATACAAGTCCCTTCCATTGTAATTTCGGCTGTCAGAAAGGGTTTTTTCGGAAATTTGTCAGCAGACCCGTGAACTATTTCGGGTTTTCCAGCAATAATTCACCACCGCAAATATACCACAAGAAATTAAAATTTTGAGGCAGCCTTAATAATAATATATTATTTTTTCCGAACAGACTAATTATGGTGAATCATTTATTTAAGTTCGTTAAACCAAATTAAGGATATTAATCAAACTAATTAAGGTAGCTAATCATATTTTAGTTTCTGAATCATGGTTCCCACCTCCCCACTCACTTATAAGAGCCAGTTCAAACAAAGATATAATATAATTAGCCCTAAATTTAAAACGGTAATGATGAATTATATAAATATAATTACGAGAATATAAACTAGATTAATAAATAAAAATAAAAATTGGGTCTCAATTGATGCATGCATGCACCTTTACAACTTCAACTTAGATGCATGCGTGAAGTGATTAATTGAATAATTAATTGAGTTTAATTGTTGATGTTGGGCATATAATTAATTAATTAATTAACTCAAAGCATGTGACGAAGTGATCCCGAACTAATGTATATTATATATGTAGCTTTGACTTGGATTCTACGTACCATTTCGTTGTTATTTTTTTATTTAAAAAATATAATCATTGAGAATTCAGTATAAATTAAATTTTTTTAAAAAAAAATTATACATCGAGTACTAGCATTTTTCAAAATTAAAAAAAAAAACATCTTTTTTTTATTATTATTATTATTATTGGTGTTTTATTTGTATGCTCCATTCAATAGGGAAAATTAAAAAAAAAATGAAAAAAAAAATAATAATAAAGGAGAAGCTTTGGTGTCATGTAATAATATTAATTATTGGTAATGCATATGGAAGCATGTTTTTAGGTTAAATAGGTGTTTGGAAAGAAGGATAGGGTAGCCAGTTTTGTCCGTAATTCAGTGGACAGCTTGGCTGGAAAATTCTGGTTTAGGCTTTGGATTTTCCATACACAATCAGACACTAAACTTATTCCAATCCCTTCAATATTCACTCCCTAATATCTTACTTTCTTTTACGCAGACTTTGTCTCCAAATTTTGACCAGAAAAAATAAATAATAATTCATAAATAAAATTCTCATTTCATAGATATCAATTATTTGCATGCCCATACATGTACATACTCTCATACATGCATACTTTTCGTTTTAGTTTTTACATCCTACTTCGATTATAGAGGGAAACAAAACATTCTTATAAAGCTGTGGAAACCTCTTTCTAACACACATGTTTTAAAAAATAGTGAGACTGACGACGATACGTAACGGACTAGTAGTGTGTTTCAACTGTTGTAAATGGTTTTAGAGTCATACATTGATCGTTGTGCCAATAAGGACGTTGGACTCACAAAAGAAGATAGATTTTGAGATCCCACATTGGCTGAGAGGGGAATGAAACATTTCATATAAGGCTAATAACGACGTTAGGCGTTTGAACGGTTACAAATGGTATCAAAGTCAGACACTAGGCGACGGTGTGTCAATAAAGACAATGAACCCTTAAGCGAGGTGAATTGTGAGATCTCATAACGAAACATTTCTTCTAAGGGGTGTAAATTTTTCCCTGACAAATTGTAACCGGTGAAAGTGGATAATGTGAATATTATATTTTAATTAAGATATTGATATATGGTTACATATATTTACTTAATTTAACCATAATTAATTAATTTTATGAATGCTTGGTGGTATTAGTATATTTTTATATAAATGGTTTCTCGTGCATGCACCCGACCCAACGCCAATAATCATTTTTAACTATCCAACATTACAGAACGATTCCAACCCTAGAACTCGACAGCTTCAGTTTCCAATTTTCCGACTTTTTTATTATTATTATTATTATTATTATTTTAAATTAACCCATACGACAATTATTTTTATTTTTATTTTTATTTTTTGTCACGAATTAATAGTTTTGTTTGGTCTATAATCTCTAATTATTTAGTTGTCGCATCTTCATATGCAAGTACAACCAAGATTCGAGTCCAACTCATTAAGGGAAAAAAAAAACTTTAAGATTGGAGTCTCAAATAAAATAATTAAATTAACTAAATTTTGCTCGTTAAAACCCTTTTTAGAGGATTTAGTCGAACTCGATTAATAAATTAAACAGATAGCCAAGGGAGGATTAGTTCATTTAATTAATAAGTGATACAAAATTAAGCAAGGTAATTAACACAATAATAAACTTTTTGTCACCGGAAACTGGCACCTTTACCAATTTGGCCATCTTGATCATATGTTTCCATTAGAGTAATTCTATGATGAGTCATATTATTATAATTTTTTTTTAAAGAAACCCGTTAACAAGAACAAAACATCATAAAAGAATATGTGTTAATACGCGGGGATAACTTTCACTTTTGAAAGTGAAAAATAAGTAACTTGACCATGTCGGACCATTGAGTGTTTAATAAGTAACTTGACCATGTTAGAGAATGCTGAGACCATTAGGTGTTAAATCGGGCGGAAGTTTTATTATTTATTTAAGTTCCAATTTGGATGGAATTTAAATTTTATGTTTATGTTTAAAACGTTTTGAAAGGTCAAAATTGTAATATCCCAATCTCCAATGATAGCAGATATTGTCTTTTGTTTCTTTTTTTTTTTGTTACTTTTGAGTTTTTTAAAACGTGTCTAATAGGAAAGAGAAGAGGTTTTCACATTTTTCTAAAGAATGTTTAATTCTCCTCCCCAACTGATGCGAGATCTCACAATCCACCCCTTTGGACCCAACGTTCTTGCTAGCACACCACCTCTAATACCACTTGTTAGCACATCACCCGACTCTAATACCACTTGTAACGGTCCAAACCCACCGCTAGCCGATATTGTTCTCCATCTTTTCCTTTTAAGGTTTTTAAAAGGCATATGGTAGATAAAGATTTCCACACCCTTACAAGGAATGATTCGTTCTCCTTTTATATCACAAAAATGGATTAAACCCAAAATTTATCTATTTTTTCATTAATAATATTTTTGTAAGAAAAATTGCATGACCAATATAGTATTGATAAACTAAGGTGACATCTATTTGAAAATATTCTGTTTCTAGTATTTTAATTATTAAAATTTATAATTTCACGAGAATTTTATATAATTTTAGGTTCAACACTTGCGCGGGACGAGCATTGTGTCTTGAACACTTAAACTGATACTATCATACTGCGATGGCGGCAAGTGTCCCGCCATGACGACTGCTCTGGCTGCGCTTCAACTCGCCTTCCTTTCACCGACCGCTTCCAAGAAACTTGCATATCCCGTAAGCTTCTGTTTCTCCTGCTACAGTTTCACCTCCAAATTTAGTTTAATTTAGACGACGCACTGGTTTTCTTGAATCAGCTATTTAGATGATACTGCAATCAAATTCTACTTAACTAGCTGAATCGCTTGATTGATACTTCAATTTGTGTAAATATCAGGATTCTAGTTTGTTGTATCGTGTATCGCTACTGTTCTCTAAAGAAGGTGCAAATTGTTCAGCAGTTTTTCAGCTGTTCAGGGCGTAGAAATGTCAATTTGTGGTTTGTGCCAATGCTTCCAATCCAAGAAATGGCCAACTTCTTTCTCTTTTAACTCTTTCAGTGAATTGAATTTCCGGCATGAAACAGCGAATTTCAGGTGTTTTTGACCCAGAATTTCAACAAATTCTTAATTATATGAGCTTGCACAAATCCTCTTCGTTTGTTGCTTTGTTTAGAAGCATTTTAGCTCCATCGAGACTTTGCGCTTTAATACAGAAAATGATTAGTAATATGCTAAAGTATGTTTGTTGGGATCCGTTCTTCTAAATTGTAGGAAGTGGTGAAGGGAACATATATTATCATCAAGTTTCTAGATGTCCAGTTTAGTTTCAGGAGGCTGATCTTGTATTGGCGATGTGCAGTTACTTCAGTCCTTTGATGAAATCGATTACAAACAGAGGCCAAACTGATTGTGCCATGAATGAGGAAGACCTTGAAGAGAAAGATGATCTTTCGACTCGAGAGTCTCGATTCTTGTATCCAACAGCTGATACTCGGTCGACATTAAGGTTTCGAAATGCCAAATTAGAATGTATGCTTAGTTCATATTTTTTGGTGTGTGAGGCCACATGTAACAACCCAAACCTACCACTAGCAGATAGTGTCCTATTTGACATTTTCTTTCCGAGCTCTCCCTCAAGTTCCTACACATTCCCCTCTTCAACTAATGTGGGATATCGCACTCCATCCACATGAGGCCCAGCGTCCTCGCTGGCACACCACTCGGTGTCTGGCTTTAATACCATTTGTAATAGCTCAAGCCTACTGCTAGCAAATATTATTCTCTTTGGACTTTCCCTTCCGAGCTTCCCCTCAAGGTTTTTAAAACGTGTCTTCTAGAGAGAGATTTCCACATCCTTATAAAGAATGTTTTGTTCCTCTCCGACGTGGGATCTCACACCACAATTGAAATTTCATACTATTGTATCTCTACCGGGTTGTATTTACTGGAAATGTTTGCACAAGTTTACTGTACCTGTAGTTAGCCTTTATGTGGCTGAAGGAGGCTTATCTCATATGGCTTACTCAGGAACTTTTCTGCACATCCATTTTATGCAAATTTCATTTCAATCGTTTGAATTTATTTCACACGTTTTTCTTTGAAGGGGTTGGAGACCATCTTATAGAGATGCATTGCTTTCAGTGAGAAAAAAAGTTAAACGTTCCTTGCTCAACCAAGTTGTCATCTGGAGACCTTGAAGCAGAAATCTTTCTTCATTTGTTCCTGCAAGGTACTTCCCCTAAGCCTGTGGGTTAGGTAAAAATTTTATATTCTTGATTTGCTCATCTAAAATTTAGATGTGTCGCTATATCTGAAGTTTCATACATGAATCAAGTGCCTGTGTAAGTTGGTAAGTCAGAAAACTTTGTCCTTGCCCATGTAGTGAAGAATCATTATGGCATTCTAACCTTGAAGATAGTCTACAAATTGGACTCAATCTGTGCAAAGTGAAACTTTAGCAGCTACAGATGGAGCATCTGACCTGCAATCCTTGATATTTAAGGTATCGGTTTTATAAATCTTTTCCCCTCAAGAAGCTTTCCTCTTGTGTCAGCTTGCTAGGACATTATCTGGGAAGGTGTTCCAACAAGCGGCCAACCATTGAATTAAAAAGGAAATCATCAAAAAGGTACTCGGTAACATCGAAAGCATTATTGATGTGTGATCCTAGAAATAAATGCCATGGTTTAGAGAGCACAGCCTAAAGCAGCTGAGACTGTCTTTCTTTGCTTTTATGCTCTTTCTGTCCAACTGGCTTCTTTTACTTGGGAAGTTTTGCTTTCTTTATGTAGTTGTAAAGAAGTAGGCCTCATGTCGATTGAAAAGGTGAACGAAATATTTTTTATATAAGAGTGAAACTTCTTCCTATCAAATGCGTTTTAAAACCGTGAGGCTGACGTCGATATGTAACGAGCCAAAGCGGACATTATCCATTAGCGGTGGACTTGGATTGCTACCGTTTGTGCAAGGTATCCCCTTACAATCAGTATATTGGTATCACTGAAGTAGCCCAAGATCGATTACAAGTGAGCCTTTTGAGAGGGCTGTACACTCCTTCCTAAGACAAAAGTCTCCCAAGATATAATCTAGCTCTTACTAACCCACAGACTAACTATATGCATAAACTGATTACACAAAAAACAGAACAAAAGACACTCCTACAAGCAACTTCACTGGGATGCAATTCCAAGCCTTCCCCTCCTTTGATATCTATTTACAGTAGGAGTTCTTACCATTTATATTTAGTGGAATGAGTCTTTTTTTTCTGTCATGTAACATAAGTGTGAGATCTTACATTGGTTGAGAGGAGAATGATGCATTTTTTATAAGGATGTAAAAACCTCTTCCTAGTATACACGTTTTAAAAATCTTGAGAGTAAGTTGGAAAGGAAAATCTTATGATAAGGTTGAAAGCATGAGGTTCGCTCGTGGGAACAAGGAATATCTTATGAAAACATGGAAGTTCCACCGTTTTAGCGAGGAATCTCTTTTGAGAGAGGGGAGGTTCTGCCACGAAAACTAGGAATATCTTAAGGATTCACAAATTTATCGTCTATAACGCTACTTATGGTCCACCCATCCATTTGTTATTTAAGATATTAAAATATTATTTCTAAAAAAAAAAGTTCATAAACTAGAAGGTATTCCGGAAACAATTTTAGTTTTAGCCCACGGGCCACGGGCATCCATTAGGTACCCATTCAGGTTTATCTTTGAATATTGAGATATCTAGTTCTTGCAATTTGGACAGGGTCTTGCTGGTGCTGCTTTAAGGTATCTGGGTTTCAGAAGCACGATGACTTTGCTCGGCCCAATGAACTAACAAAAGGTCTACACATTGAAACTTTTGGTGACTAAATCAATCGAACTGCTTAATTTTTTTTTTTGCTTTCTTGTTCAAACATGGCCCAGTTCATGATATAGGCTTGATAAAATTGTTTCCTTGTTGCTAATTAATTTAATGCCAACCAGTTTATTATTATTTGTATCTGAATCAGGTTTTGGGGAACATTTCTAGCGGATGTGGTGATTCAGATGATGGGAACTGATTATGCTGTAATATTTAGAGCAATCCTGAACTGGGTCTAATTGGGCTTTTCCTTCGGGCTTCCCTTCAAAGTTTTTAAAACACGTCTGCTAGGGATAGGTTTACACACATTTATAAAAAATGTTTTGTTCCTCTCTTCAATAGATGTGTGGATCTCACAATACACTCCCTTTCGAGGCCCAGCGTTTACGTTGACACATTATCCATTGTCTACCCCCTTTGAGGTTCAGCGTCTTCGCTAGCTCAAGCCCACTGCTAATAAATATTGTTCTCTTTGAGCTTTCCCTTTCGGGCTTCCCCTCAAGGTTTTTAGAACATGTTGTTACGTAGAGGTTTTCACACCCTTATAAAGAATTTTTTATTTCCTTCTCCAGTCAATGGGGATTCTCACCATCCACGTCCTCCCTGACACTCGTTGCCTTCTCCACTTGATGAGAGATCTCACAAATTTATTCTCTTGCTTCTTTTGCATGCTTGTGGTACACTCCATCAAAGTGATTCGATTACAAAGTGATTTTTTATCTATCACTTTTGAATAACTTTTTGAATAATCATCATTAAGACCATTCTTTTCTAAATCCAAACACACCCTTAGCCTCAATCTTGGTATATCAACTAACCAAAATGCCTAGTTTGGTTGGGTTTAACCGATTGCTTTACTGAAATGCTTAATTTATCTGAAGCCTCGTTGGGGCAACAGAAAAGGTCCAATAGCCCTGCTATACCTATTCGACCTTGCACTCCAACTATTGCAAGTTTCTAGTGTATAATAAAACTTAAAATCATCACAAAAGAGAGGATAAAGAGAACTATAAAGTAAAAAGTGGGGAAAGGCTGAGGGGGCAATATTAAAGGTAAAACTTAGTGGTAGCTAGGTAAGTATATTAAGAACAAAGGAAAATAGGATGGATGTGTCTGATATGAATGGAGCGTTTAACTTTCATTAGTAAACCCCGCCTCAGCTTTTTAGGTAAGAATGATATGATTTGGTTCATTACTTTTCCTGGGCACTGAGAATATTGATTGTTTTTGCTGCAGATTTGGATTACTCGCACAGATACGGTCGACGAGTGATGAGTGACGAATGCTGAATTTGAGCTTTTGGATGCTTAGTACATCACAATCTAATCAACATTAAGATCTTGCTTGCCTTCTTGAGCTCCACATCAGGTGAAAGCTCATTATTTTCATAAAAATGAAAGGGTAAGAGATAAGAGATATTTTTGAAATAAAATATAAAATTTATGAGTATTTTTAATATGAACGTAGTAAATTTGGGAAGTATATAGGCGTAGTTTATAATTATTTGTTAAAATGGTGTAAAAAATTGGGTATGAACAGCATGGAAACATGCTTATCCAGTGGTTACGTGAAAAGGAAGAGGCAAATGGAGGAAAGAAGACGGTGGCTTCTTTTGATAAAGTGGGGAGCTTTTTGATGTTCTTAATTTGTTATTATTATTATTATTTTTAAAAAAATTAGCTTTTGACTTTTTGCAGTTTCTTTTATTTTTTTAGCGACCTTGTCTTTTTGATGCAAAAGAAACGTCTCTCTCCACTTCCACATGGTTTGTTTCTTTCGAGACATCACCATTCCACCTTTAAGAAGCAAATTTCCATTTTCTTTTTTCCTTTTTATATGGGTTTTCGTTTTCATAGGTGGGGGTTATACTATTCATATATATAGATATATATATATATTATGTGTATTTATTATTATTATTATATATACATCTCACTATCCATCCCGTTTGTGGGCCCAACGTTCTTATTTGTACACTTGTTCTTGTTTGCACGCTGACAAGTGTTTGTCTCTTACTTGTAGGTGAATTCTTTTTACCCTCTTAAAACTTGTCTCTCACTTGTAGGAGCTCTTCTCTCGAAATACAAATTTACCATAGGAAGCACAGGAAATTTGCAAGACTTTGTCATCGATAGATAATAATTTAATTGTTATTTTATAATTTTTAAATTCAATAATATGTGGTGGTGTTGTCAGATTTGAATACTCCTAAATTGAAATTATAATTGTTTAACTAATTATACTCAAATTATTAACATCAATGATATTCATTTCATCCTTTTATTAATTTTAAGCTTTCATTTTGTGAAACTAACCTATTTTAGTTTAAGTTGAAATAAATAAAGAAATGAAACTCCGAAAAACAACGAATTTTTACTTCCGAGAGTGGCGCTAGAGGAAAGAATATTTTAATAAATAGACGTGCCACGTCAGCCCCTTGCTGGAAATTAAGGCGAGACTTGAGAGTGACAAATTTCTGGGCCCAGCCCACCAAATGAAAAATAATTATAAAAAAAAAAAAAAAAAAAAAAAAAAAAAAAAAAACTCTCGACCTCGGAAGCCGACATTCACTTCAGTTCAACATCAAACCAGCCTCAAGATGTGGTTAGAGAAGGCCCGTCCCAATATAAACTGATAATTTTTCATTATTGAATATTTTAATTTTTTTTTGAGGTATATATAAATTTTAAAATAATCTCTAAATCAAAATTTTATTAGATTAATTAAAAAAATCAATTTTTATTACGATAAAAACAACATGAACCTAATTCAGATATTTGCGCATTGTATTTTCTCATAATAATACAAAAAATATAACATATCTCTTTGTATTATATATATAGATATAAGATATATCAAATTAGGTAGATAAATTATTAATAGGGTTGGATTCTACCATAGCTAGAGTGCATATGAATACAAATAGGATAGATATATATCAACATAATTTGATATTGTAATCAATAAAACCCTAGAAATTTAATGTAGCCTCCCCTTTTTTTGGCGTTATAAAAGTTTGAAAAATAAGAAAAAAAAAATGGATTTGATTCCATGTGGCTTTGATCTCAATAATAGACATCAACCAAATCATTTGAATACTTGTCCTCTTTCATTAATATTTTTTTATACACGCTACCTTCGTAACTAACTTGATTAATCAATTATGATACAAATAAAGCAATAAAATTATTTTCTTTTCAATTAATTAATTATCAATATTGTCCGCTTTTACTCATTACATATCACCATCAGGTTTACGATTTTAAAACGCGCCAAATCTTATAAAAATTGAGATCTAATAATATAGGATGAGTATGAACGGAGTAACGATCTAATATGAGCCCCATTTTGATTCTCATTCCTTCAAAAGACATTGAACAAGGGCATTTGATATTCTGAAAAGAAAATACAAAAGGCTGAAAATGTTAATGCAAAAAAGCAAAAAACAAGTCATGTTATTATCAACTTGGGAATAAAATAAAATAAATAAAAAATAGGGAAGATGATGGAAGTCCAAGATTGATGAAAACATGCACATGCAAGAATGTCCTTTTGGCACAATCATGTTTATGTGTGTGTTTTGATCCCAAATCCAATCATACCCCCATTAATTTAACATCAAATTATTTAATATTAATTAATTAATTAATTAATTAATATAAATATTTAAATATTAGGAACTTTCTTTTTGTCAATTAATTATGCGAAAACAAATGAATAACCACTAAACAACAACAAACCCATAACTTTTTTGATTGTAAATCAATTCATAAAGTTAATTATTCATGTGGGTCTGCCTTAATTTCTAAGATATTTGTTTTCTCCTTTAGAACACTTTATTTATTTATTTATTTATATAAATTAATAAAAAACAAATAAAGATAAGATCCATGATTTGGTGTAGGGATGAAGTTAATTGGGCTTGACATGAAATTAAATTGGTCCTACAATCCTTCTTCTTCTTCTTCTTCTTCTTCTTCTTCACCTTTTTTATTAATTTTTTAATTTTTTAAATTTATTTTCTTTGGTTCCCACAACCACCAAACCCAGCAGCCACCATTATTAACTTTTGAAGTTTCCCTTAAGATTCTTTTTATAAAGTTAATTACACCTTGAGAATTATATCTTGGAGCTGTCAAGCATCATGGTACCTTCATGCACCTTTGTCTCCTCTTATATATTATATTTTATACCAAAGTTTTGTTCTTATAATATAACTTATTCATACCATCCTTATAAATATGAATATAAATATTATTCATATTAATTTTTCTTTTTTTTTTTTTTTGCAAGTATAATGGTTAAAATATTTGACTTTTAGAATGTAGTAGATGTTAATTATATCGACATTTTGTAAATAAATATTATGATAATTTGTTGAGAGAATACTTTTGAGCTGATTTTAAAGTGATTAAAATAAATATAATTGTGAACTAAAATATTATTAATGTAATAACTAAAATACGGTAGTTATGAGCATTAAATAATGAGCTATCTTGAAGAAGAAATCAAGATTTGGTATTTACTTGAATTAGATGCGGCATGCCTATTTTAAATTTGGTGAACTCATATCATCATGACTAAAATCAATAATTCAATGAAAATCAGACATTTTTTCTCAGGGCTACGATCGGCTGCATTGTTCGCACAGTTCTTTGGTGCACTTGACTAGATCGAAACCCCAAACTCTCTCCTCTAAAATCATACGGCTCTGATTGATTTACTCCCTCCAACGAACTAGATTCAATGAAATTTCAAAATTGTTTAGCCATTTTGGATCGTCCGATTATTTTTCACAGTCATCTGACGGCCTATTCCAATTATGAAGCGAGTATTAAAAATAACATATGTACTACTGCCCGGGTTTGCTTTTTATCCCTTGCCCGTACGTATTTATTAGTTACATTCTCGTTTCAACCCTAGCTGCCCGTCGTAGGAGTTACTAACCGTGAATGGCATTAAATTTTAGCCCATTTTCCCCAAAAATAGTATTAAAGCGTGTCGTAATGATTACTGATGGGTGGCAGGGTTATTATTTTAACAAATCTGTAATTTTAAATGATGAAAAAGTTTCAATTATTTCTAATAAATAACCACACTTTATGCCAATAACGTTAAATTACAAAATAAATTAAATAAATAAAATCCTAAAAATATTTTTAAAATAAATTTTTATTACATATTCAAATATTCTAACCGATTTTTATTCTAAAAATATTTTTGAAATAAATGGTAAAATTCACCATTATTAAAAGTGGTTTAACCAATAATTGATAATAAGATTTTTAAAGATTTTTTTTCAGTACTAGGTTTTTAGGTTAAATAGGTTAAATAATACAAAATATTTTAAGATTTCAATTATGTCTTCTTCAAATTTAAAATATTAATATATATATATATTTAAAAATTTAAGTAAACTCGAGTATAAAATTAATGTATTT